ATATGATTTAACATGCGTTTTATTCGTTATGTTTAGGTTTAGTCGGTTGTGGTTGTTCTTAGGGTTTAGTATTTTGTTTACCAAAAAAAAAATCCGAAATACGTATATTTTTAAGTGTTAGAAAATGGCATATCCGTAAAATTTTAGTAAAAATGGCAATTTCAAAAGATTTTTATGAAAAATGGCAAAATCAACAATAATCCCATTAATTAGCCTATCATATATACATATATATATATATATTAATAATAAGTCTATTGCATAAAAATATGTATATTAATAATAAGTTTTATCGCATAGAAATATCTTTTAAGTTTCTCTTCTTTTGTTAGTCCGAGAAATTATAAATTTTTTTTTTTTTTGGTAGGCGAGAAATTCTAAAAAAAATTTCTTTCAAAGTGTGATATTTTTTAAATAGGTTAATTAAATAACGTAGTGCGTTAAAATTATTTATAAAATTTTTATTACTTTTAAAAATCTGAATGCCATGCTTCTAACACAATAATAAATTTTTCTAATGAAAATAATTTTCCACAATTCAACGCTTTTCCGGGGTCTTCAATGAGTCGAAGAGTTTTTTTTTAAAACAAAAAGTAAAGTTTATAGTTTTTTTTTAACAAAACGTAAAGGTTATATATAGTTGAATACTAGTACCATGTTTTCTTTGTGGGACTTTCCATTACATTGATAATACATTGTGTTTTAAGAAAAAAAATATCAATGTACGTAGGTATATGCAACAAGGAGCGGAAGCAGTTCACTCAGCAAACAAGAACGTACTTGTAATCCTGTCCGGTCTCACCTTTGACACCGACCTCTCCTTCGTTAGGTGTCTACCTGTAAACCTATCCTTCACCGGAAAACTCGTCTTTGAGCTGCATTGGTATTCTTTCAGTGACAAAAACTCATGGGAGCCATTGGGAGGTCAATACCCCTAACAATAACTGCGGCCAGGTTCTAAACCGGAAAGAAACAGTGGCGGTTTTCTCCTTAACCAAGGGTTTCCGTTGTTCCTCAGCGAATTCGGTATGGATAAAAGAGAAATAAACGCTAATGATGACCGGTATTTTGGGTGTTTAACTGGCTGGACAGCTGAAAATGACGTGGATTGGTCGATTTGGGCGCTTACTGGAAGCTATATACTTAATACAAGGTATGGTCGGAATGACTGAAAACTACAGTGTGTTGGATTCCGATTGGATTAGTGTTCGGAAATCGAGTTTCTTAGAAAAGATCTCTCTTCTTCAATCTACGCTTCAGGGTGAATATTCGCGAAAATTACAAGATTTTGCCAAAACATTTTGTTTTAAAAAATCTAACTTTTGAAATTATATGGTTTACTAGGACCGGGTCCTCGAACCGACGATTACAATCTGGTTTTGGATCCGTTAACCAGACTCTGCCTAGTATGATATGATATCTCAATGACCTGAGAAAAGTCACAGTTGGTCCATGCAATAGTTCCGAACCATGGATCTACATTATGAAAGCCCTAAGAATCAAAGACCAGCCTTTGTGTTTACAGAGCAGCGGACCAGAAAACCTAGTTAAAATGACTCGGACGGGTTGCTCGGGACCTGGTTCGAAATGGCAAACTGACTCTGCCTCTAGGATGCATTTATCTTCGACAACAAGTAACAAACTTCATTTTGCCTTGATGTGGACGCAACCAACAATGTCGTGACTAATGGCTGCAAGTGTATGAGAAATGAAAGTTTGTGTGAGCCAATGAGCTAGTGCTTCAAGATCATTCATGCCAGAAGGCCATTGAAGAGCTTGAAGCATAAGCAAATGCGCCTTTGATAGGTATGGAAAGTGTTTGGATAATGAGTTATTCTTCGATATTTTAGAGAGATTTCTGAATTTAAGTTAACATATTATGGCCGTGTTCGGAGGAGAGTCGCCAACGACCATCTCAGCGACAGATCAAAACGACGACGGCGGCGGCGATCAACAAAGCAAAACGACGATAGCAGAGGCAAAACGTTGATGAGAGAAGTGTCGCTGGAGAGAGAAAAAGGTGTCACTGGGAGAGAGAGGAGTCGCTGAAATTTCAAGTGACAGCAGCGGCAACTCATTCAACACTAACGGCGATTCTTTTTTACAGTGGCAGCTGTTCTTTTGTACGGTTACGATTCCGTCCATGCCTTTTTTTAGTCGCAGTTGCTCATATAGCGACTCACAAAAGAACAGGGCCTATATACCATCATAGTTAATTTGAAGCTTGTATATGACTTTTTTTTTTTTTTTTTTTTGAGCAAAGAAGCTTGTATATGACTATGTTACTTCTAAAGTACTACATAAAATTGTTATTTTGCCAAAAAGAAAGTAAAGAAAAAAACGGTGTTGATTTTTGGTTTTACAAATGGATGACGTGTTGGCAAAACCCGAACCGGAACCCGACCTGAACCCGAATCCTAACAGATACCCGATCATATCCACAATTTAAATACATAGTAATAATATATCATAAATATTTTATATTTGTAATAACCTATGTTTCTAAAATATTCGAATTTTTGGATATTTTAAATATTTTAGGGTATTTAATCTACTTTTGAGTAAATTTGGATAAAAATCTTCACGGTTTTTATGTGTTTTCGAGTAATTTGTTTATATTTGATTCTAAAATTTTGCATTTTGAAAAATTCGGGTAATCTAAACCGAATCCGAAATATCCGATCTGAATCCAAAATATCCGATCCGATCCCAATCTGAACCCGAAATCTAAAAAAATCCGAATGGATCCTACACCTCTAAACGCGAATATCCGAAAACTCAAAATACCTGAACCAACCCGAACGCCCACTTATACGTGTTGTGATGCAAATTGTTGGATTATAAACTATAATATAAACACACATTTTAATTAGAAGAGCTTATTTGGGCAAATGGACCAAATAAATAAGTGCTTCTATTTAATCATTAGGAAGAATGTCTCTAATGCCACTTTCTTCATAAAAGTAATCTATATGCCACCCTTATATTTTAATTTTATTTTTTTATTTTCTTTTAAATTAAAACTAGATTTGAACCCGCGGTACACCGCGGAGCTATAATTTTTTTTTAAAAAATCTAAATATAATTAGTTTTGTTTATTAATAGAGAGTATAATATAATATTTCGACCTATTTTATAAATGTACCATCCATATATCTATATTAATAGTTTTGAGTATATTAATTGTGTTTTAGGTTTAAATGGTATATCTATATATAGTTATATACACTTAAACGACATTTGGCTTTCTTCTTCTTCTTGCCTCAGTTTAAGAGAAAGATTTGTCTTGCGGTACACCGCGGAGCTATTATTTTAAAAAAAGATTTTTCTTCCTTAAACTTCCAAATCTAGATTTTACCCCGCGGTACACCGCGGGTCGATTTTTTTACAACTAAAAAATTATTTTGCAAAATTTTAAGTTGTATTTGTTTTGTTAATATTGTTTATTTTGTTTAGTGTTTCTGATTTTATAATTAAATTTTGATTTTTAATTCTAGGATTTCATCCATCGTATATTGTTTAATATTGTTTAATATTAATATTGATCTAAACCCGTTGCACCATATAACCCCGTCCCGTAAAATTAAACATCATTTGTTATTTTTTTTGAATAATATTTTTATCCACTACTAGTCGCAGGTTCATGCGGATAAGCCCGTAGAGAGTTGCGGATTTGCGGGTCGACCCGCCAAAAGAGAAGCTATCTTTTGAAACTCTTTGTTTTGTTTAGAGGTTTTAAGAAAATATCCCTAAAAAATAATTTTCATTATATGAAAAAAAAAAGAAGTGTAAGAAATTATAGTATCAACATTCCCGATTTTTACATCACTCGTTACAATTAATTTTTTTTTTGCAGATAAAAATCAGAAGTTAACTAAGTCGAGATTTTTAAAAAGATTGTGTAGAGATTTTTGGTAAATTGTTGAGAACATATTTGATTTCAAAATCTTTACTTAAATAGATAAGGAAAGATTTTGTAGAGACTTTTGCTAAATATATGAGAAATGAATTTCAATTAAAAATCTTTACTTAAATAAAACAAATCTAAATAATTAATGCTAATGGCATGTCATTGTAAATACTTCTCAACTTCAGGATTTATTTGCTAATTGTGATCCAAAAATGTATATATAGATATATAGAGAAAGACCAAAAATTCTTAACCTAAACCATAAATTACGTACCCTTGACATTTCTTTTGTTAACCCAACCACATATTTTTATCTTCTCTACATAATCTTCTTCCTCTAGATTTTTTTTATTTTTCTTCTCCTCTTTTTCTCTACCATCATCATTAAATCCCTAAATCTCTTCTTCTCCATCATAGATCTTTTTTTTTTTTTTCCATGGATCACTCTTCTCTCTTTGCTCTTTTGATCAATCACTGTCTTTGTCTTCGTCTCCATCACCATAGTTTATGTTGAGATTCGCAAACCAGAGACAAACAACAATCTCGAACTATTTTTTTCACAGTGGCATTCAGATTATAAAATGCCATGCCAGATAACAAATAATCGCTCATGTCCTGTTTCATCAAAAATTTTGGAAGAAGTCGTGATAATTAATTCAGATTCACAGTTTAAAAGTTCACATTGAATTTTATGTATTCAAAACTGTAGTCAATTAATTTACTTCGGTTACAAATTCGATTCATTTTGTTTGAATTACAAAAGAGAATTAAATTTAGTATTTAGAAAAAGAAAAAATGGATAACTTTTTGGAAAAGAAAATGGATGACGTGTTTCAATGTTAAATCTAGGCCTGGGAGTTCGGAATAAACCGATCAAACCGACCCGATCAACCCGAAATTTTCGGTTATCGGCTTAGACCGAAGAGATTAGACCAAACCGAACGGCAAAATTAATTTGGGCAATCGGATGTCGGTTCGGGTCGGTTCGGTAATCGGTTACCGATCGGTTACTTCGGTTTAAGGGAACATGGTATAAAAAGATAAAACCCTAGATCTAATTCATTTCATCTCTTCTCCTCCTCTTCTCCTCTCCTTTACGATCCTTCTTTTTCCACTCTCCTCCTCTCCTTACGATCTTCCTTCTTCTTCTTTCCTCTCTCTTCTTCTCCTTCCTTCTCTTCTAAACTCTTCTACATCTTAATCTTCTTCGTTTTCGTCTCAGCCTTCCATGAAGTTTACCGACGTGAGGTTTGTGTTGGGATTTGATTATTGGTGTTACTTGATTTTTTCGTAGTGTTGTTCTTTCAAGTTCTAGATCTTAGACATCGTATTTATTTCATTGATTTAGTTGTTTTCTTTCTTATTACAGTGAGAATGCGAGAAACATACTCATCAACCTCATTCAATGCAATCTCGCTTAAAAAGTTGGAATAGGACGCCGGACGGTCGGAGTTCGCCGTGGTTTTCACCGTGGCCGTCACAGTTACAGCCAGAGCCGCAGCCGCTCAGCTCATTTCTTTGCAAAACCCTAAAAAATTTATTGGATTGGGCTTTTGATTGTATGTTGGGTTTTGTTAATTGTATTGGGCTTTTGTATTATTTGTAATGGTTTAGTTTTATTAGATTTGTGTTTCTAATTGAGTAATTGTTTAATTGTTTAATATGTAAACCGAAATAAAAACCGAATAAACCGGAAAAATAAAAAATCCGGCTCATGTTCGGAACTTAAATTTTAGCTAATAACCGACCCGAACAAACCGACTATCGAACCGACCCGAACCGAATTTCAATTCGGGTCTATTCGGTGGGATTTTCAAAAAACCGAATTTCTCTCAAACCGAATAACCCGACCCGAACAACCCGGTTTAGCCGAACTCCCAGGCCTAGTTAAATCGTTGGATCATATGATGAAACTGAGTATAGCTTACGTAAAGGTCAGAGTAGACCCAAAAAATCCTCTAAAGGGTCAAACAAAATCGGAGATCTGGTCCGACTAAACCAGACTAACCAATTTCAACCTCCTCGCCGGAGAAAATGGCGGAAGACAAAGAAGCTACGACGAGTTCGCTGAGTCAAGGACTCACTCCTCACCAAGACCCCGAAGATGCTCCCAAGTCTCCTCCTAACTCTCCTAATTCTTCTACTCGCAAGGTACTTGTCTCTCCCGAAACCTGCTCCGATTTTATCGAGCCTGTGAGCTAAAGTTTCTATGCTCACTCGTTACTAAGTTTGAGTTGAGAATTGTAAAAGAATTTTTCGATTTGGTTGCTCTTGAAGTTGAATTTTAGCTATCTTATATGTCACTGATGATGTTTTAGTGGAAAATGTGAAGATCGTTGTGAAATTTTGGATGAATCGAGTCATTTTAGCTGTTAAAGAGACGTTTTTTGATAGAAGCTCGAGTAAACTTTAACTATCTTATAGACACCTTTGTGAATTCGTTGAGAAATTTAGGGTTATAGCTCTGGTTTTCCGAAGAAAACTCCGAATTGTAAAATTCATTGTAACATTTCAGTATAAGCTTTAGAGGTTTAAGCAGATTAACTTCTATCTATTTGTGTTGGATTCAATTTATATTGAGATACTTACATGTTTTCTCTTTTGTATTTGAGCAGGCTTGTTATGGGGTTCTACAGAGTTGGGTGTCTAAGAAGTTTATGACTGGATTGTAAATCACTCTTAGCACTTTTTTATTTTCTTACTCATGATTGAAATCTTTGTATTATTGGAGACTAACTGTATTTTTCATATTGGGTGTTGTGTGGTAGTGTCGTACTCTTTCCTGTTGCTGTTACATTCCTCATCACTTGGTGGTTTATCCAGTTCGTTGATGGGTTCTTCAGTCCGATATACGAGAACCTTGGTGTTGACATATTTGGTAAGACTGGAAAGATAATTAAGATTATTCCGCCTAGCTTATGTATGCATTGAACTTCTTCTAACTTGTATGGTAATGTTATGTACTTTAGTAAAACTTGATGTAGAAATATCGTATGTGAAGTCTAAGATATCTTAAAAGATTAGGAGTCAGGATTTGTTCTTACTGCTAGAGTTAGTGGTATGTGATAATGTATCTGGTAAACTGAAACATTTAGGTTCATCTCTATTTGAAAGTTTCCTAAGTTTACAAAGAGATCAAATATCAGATATCAATATCTATCTTGAACTACATCTTTTAATTATTTTTTGTATGTTGCAGGACTTGGGTTCATTACATCTGTACTTTTCACTTTCTTTGTTGGAATATTTGCTTCGTCGTGGCTGGGTTCTACGGTTTTCTGGCTTGGGGAGCAGTTTATAAGGCGAATGCCCTTTGTGAAGCACATATATTCAGCTTCTAAACAAATTAGCACTGCTATTTCTCCGGGTAAGACTGTGTACTGTTTCTTTCTCTTCACCAGTTTCCCTGCTTTAGCTCTTTCTCACATCCAAATATCTCTGGTCAATTCTTCCCCTTTTCTCCAAATATATGTAAAAGTGCAAGGAATCACGTAAAGAAGCTTGTCTTTTTTTTCTAGCAAAAACATGCAAGCATATTCATGTGGAATCAGACACAATGATTTGAATCCACAAGTAACATTTTTATGTTGCTATGCTGTTTGCCTTTTTTTCGTGTCCTTTGTAAAGGAATAACCTTTGATTTTTTGTTATCAGACCAAAACACTACTGCCTTTAAAGAGGTAGCAATTATTCGTCACCCTCGTATTGGTGAATACGCATTTGGATTTATCACATCATCGGTGACACTTCAGGTCAGTTATTCAGCAACAAAAATGGTAAAACCCAAGTAAATTACTTACTTGCTTTCATGCGTTTTTTTGTAACAGACTGACCATGGAGAAGAAGAGTTATGTAGTGTGTATGTGCCAACGAATCATCTGTACATAGGAGATGTGTTTCTGGTGAGTAGCGAAGAAATCATAAGGCCAAATTTATCGATCCGAGAAGGAATAGGTCAGTCTTGATCTCTTTACGTTTCATCATCTACTTTTTTTTTATGAGAAAGATCAGATTCATATGGTGTTGTTTTGATGCAACAGAGATCATAGTATCGGTGGGGATGACAATGCCGCAAGTGATATCTCATGCGGACAGGACAACAAATAGAACTCCTCACCAACACAGTCTCAGGGTTCCTCTCAACAGACTTTAGTTAATAGCAGTATGGCCTCTCTACCTTGTAAAGATAGTTTACGCGTTGTGCTCAATCGTGAATTTTTAAAAATTTCGAATGACTATTACATATGTAGTAACAAATATTCACGAATTTATCTACCACTCATTACCACTCAAATTCAATCCCATATATCCTAGTTACACTTCTTCTATCGCCAACACAAGTAAGGATTTCGGATGTCTGCCATTGTCTTCCAAACTCGTTATAAGAGGTTCTGCGGCCATTTATCCAACGATTTCCTCACTGGAGGCCGAAGCAGAAGCATGAGGAATGGCAGTTCTTCAAATCAAAAATCTGGGCTATTCTAATGTTACTTTTGTTGGGGATAATGCGGATCTTTATAAAGTATTAGAGGTGAAAGAATCTGCACATCCATTGCAAAGATGGGATCATACTACAGTCTCTAAGTATATCAGAGACATTCTGCAGATGATCAAGGACTGATGAACATTTAGCTTTATGAAGATCTCAAGGAATGTAAACCATGTAGCAGATACTTTAGCAAAGAATGCAAGAATGAACCAATCAAGTTATGTAATATCCTAGAACGACAGTGTACTTCTGATGTTTGATAATGGAAAGGTTAAACATCAACTAGAGTATCTTTTGTGATTCGTGAATAAAAAACATCAACTAGAGTAAGGGAGCTAGTATCTTTTGTGATTCAAATGGGTTTAGCTAGCAATTTAATCGTCATATCTTATGAAAAGTTTGAATAAATATAAGTTAACAAAACAAAGTAAATACTAAATTTTCGTATCCGTTGAAATAGAAAAATCACCCCAAAATAATTTTGGTTTTATGCAATTGAAATTAAAACTCATACAAAAAAAAAAACAATTTATTGGTAAATCTGATTGGCACATTCACCAAAATTAAAATTCTGTTTTAAAGGAGGGAATAAAAAATAAACCATACACACTCGAAATTCTCCATAACAATATATTAACCAATCACCATCATTACAAAAGAAACAACCCAAATTTAGTCGTTAATTAATAACAATAATCAAGTGCTTTTAACAGTCTTTGAGACATGTTAACTCTATATAAATAAATAAAGTGGGCAAACACTTCTCATTGTGTCTTAGAAAAAGTATTGTTAAACAAAAGGTATTTGTTTAACTATCTCCATATACCCCTGAACAAAAGCATAAGATGTCCTTCATTGCTTCTGCGTTTAAGGCTTTGTGTTTGTCTCTCTTGTTCGTTGTTGCTGCAAGTCGTCTGACCATGAGACCAAAGGTTTTCAATGTCCGACGCCATGGTTCAAAGCCAGACGGAAAAACTGATAATGCCAATGTATGTACACGACAACTTTCCTAATATAATGTTAGTTAGTTATTTATTTAATTTTGTTAATATATATATATATATATATATATATATATATTTATAATTTTGTTAATAATCTATATATATATATATATATATATATATATTATTTTCCAAATACTTTGAATTAAGCTCAATTCAATATCAAAATAAATATAAACAATCTACTATATGTTGAAAAAACATTTTGATATACATACATACTTGACATTCCATATAACAATATATGTATTGGTATTATATGGACCAGTTAAATTGAACTTATTTTTGGTCAATTTCACGGCTATAATTAATAAAATAAACAATAAATCTTTTGTTTCTTAGTTTATAGTGCATTTTGGTAAGAATTTTAGAATATGTTTGGAACTATATTATATCGAAAGTTATAATAAACTTTATATAAAAAGATATAGATTATTGTAAACCTTTTTCCTTCTGATTACCAACCAAGGAATGAACTTCTAATTCATGTGTGGTTGGGAAAAAAAAAATATATATATTTTATTGTGCTTATCACCAATTAGAATTTTAGATGAAAAAATTCCATAAATATTATTACAATCCATAAATAACTTTTTTCACTTCTATGGATTTTTTTTGGTTCAATAATTAACCTATCTCATTCTTAACACATACAAAACTAGGCATTCACAAGCGTATGGAAACGTGCATGCACAAGGATAAGTGGAAGTAGTAAAATCTACGTACCGAAAGGAACATTCTACCTTGGTGGGGTAGAATTTGTGGGTCCATGCAAAAATCCTATTGAATTTGTCATCGATGGAACTTTATTGGCTCCTGCAAACCCTAGGGACATTAAGCTGGACACATGGATCAACTTCCGCTACATCAACAATCTCTCTATTTCCGGTTCCGGTACACTTGACGGCCAAGGGAAACACTCTTGGCCACTCAATGACTGCCACAAAAACACCAATTGTCCTAAACTAGCTATGGTACCATTTCTTCTTACACTTTTTTTTTTTATATTGCTTCATTGAAAAATATGATTGTTGTTTACATTGAAAGCGTATTACAAAATGTGTGATATGGCATTTATACACTGGTAAAAAGATTATTTTGATCAATTATTTTTATATTATAAATATAATTCCTATATATTTATCATACACAACTTAATTGAAGTATCTACTCTTTGTTTCTACATTTCACAGACTATGGGATTTGCATTTGTGAACAACTCAAGAATCAAAGACATAACATCACTCAACAGCAAAATGGGACACTTTAACTTCTTCTCCGTCCATCACTTCAACATTACCGGCATCACTATAACAGCTCCCGGTGATAGCCCCAATACCGACGGTATCAAAATGGGTTCATGTAGCAACATTCACATCTCGAACACACACATTGGTACCGGAGACGATTGTATTGCCATTCTCTCTGGGACAACTAACCTCGATATCTCCAACGTCGAGTGTGGTCCCGGACATGGGATCAGTGTCGGAAGCTTAGGAAAGAACAAAGACGAGAAAGATGTGAAGGACTTAACGGTAAGAGACACAGTTTTCAACGGCACAAGCGATGGTATTCGGATAAAAACTTGGGAATCTTCGGCTTCGAAGATCCTAGTTTCTAACTTCGTATATGAGAATATTCAGATGATTGACGTTGGAAAACCGATCAACATCGACCAGAAGTATTGTCCTCACCCACCTTGTGAACATGAACAAAAGGTTAACATTCTATGCATGCTTGAAACAAGCTTTGCTTTTTATTTTCCATCACAAGAAAAAATAAAACAAAAGATAACTTGTGTTTCCTTGTCTCAGGGTGAGTCTCACGTTCAGATCCAAGACATTAAGTTAAAGAATATATATGGAACGTCGAAAAACAAAGTGGCAGTGAATCTGCAATGTAGCAAGAGCTTTCCATGTAAGAATGTTGAACTGATTGACATTAACCTAAAGCATAATGGACTCGAGGATGGTCCTTCCACTGCGGTTTGCGAGAATATTAACGGTTCTATACGTGGTAAGATGGTTCCTCAGCATTGTCTAGACTGACATGACGGTCCAGAACAATGACAATTTGTGTTGTACATGATGTTTTTATTTATACATTACTGATGGTGTATATACTTATGTTTTATATGTTCGTGTTTATATCATGATCACACATACAAATTCCAAATGAATAGTTCTTTCTACGACAAAACAAATCTACGACAGAATGGTTAAATTTGTAACTTCCAATAGTTTTATCATCATAATATGTAACATATTACACTTTACTAGAATCAAAAATAATAAGAACAATCTCAGTAATATCTTTAAGGTTTGTGTCAATGTTTTTAAACCCGACCCGGACTGTGAACCGGACTACCTTCTGAGTCGTCGCAGAGTTCGACCACGGGTCAAATTGATTAAAACTTATTTAATATTCATAGAGATTATATAGTTTTTATAAATATAAAAATAAAAATAATCATACTATATTTACAAAATATGAAGTCTAACAATAATAATAAAGTGATTCAAATTAAATTTTTAAATCCAACTAAAAGTCTAAAACCGTAACAAATATTAACATAGTAGGAAATCGCCACTGACGGAAATAAACTAAGAAAACAGTGCGAATTCAAAACAACTAATCTCGGTTATTTCTCTCACCATTCCATTCATACTCCTTAGACGGTACTGTGAAGTTTAATCAAAATCTAAAACATCAAATTAAATGAGTCTAAAAATTAAAAAAAATTCTAAAAATAATTGAATAGAGTGTAAAACTCTATTTTTTTATTCTAAAATCAAATAATTTTTCTAAAACCCATACCCACCCAGTTCACTGGGTCGCGGGTTAATGGCGGGTTTTTGTAGATTTTTTCGGTTTTGAAATTGGCGGGTATTAGCAATAAACCCAAACCGGAAAAGTGTTTGGGTCGTAGGTTAACCGGTTGGACCGGGTGGTCTGAGTCAGACTTGAAACGCTATTTGCGTTGTTTTATCGTAACTCTTTATATAATATTTTTAATTTAAATGTTTTCATAATTTCAGTAAATAATTTTCGTATTTTACCTTTTTATCATAACTCCTTGTAAAAATAAGTTTAATTTAAAATTATTTATAAGTGTATATTTTGAAAATTCGTGTAAATTCATTATTACTTTCCATCCGGTACTTTTCTATAAAATTGTGTCCTTTCACTACCGAACCGACCATATCTCAAAATTTCTAATCTCTATATATAATTTATTATAATTTAATTCACAATATATTTTTAAAGTAGAGAAATACCCTAAAATATTACACTATTAAGTTTTTTTAAAATACCACTAGTTTATTTTCCCAATTGTACCACAATCTTTGTATAAAAATATTTATTCAACCAAAATAAATTACAAATAAAATTAGAAAATTATATTTTGGTTCTCTACTTCCAATTTAAGATTTATATTTCTTCTATTTTAAAATAGATTTGATTCATTTAATATTGAATTCATAGTATTAATGAAAAAAAAAACTAGTGCTGATATTTTATATACAAAAATAAAATAAAAATGTGACATTTTAGAGAATTATTCTATTTAGTAAGGACATGTTTATATATTAAAAATATTTTAAATACGTGTGAAATATGGCGATGATGTTTTCAAGTTTCTATGTAAATTATAGATTAATTTCATATTTTATAATTATTTATATTAAACAGTCTTTTCATGATTCGTTTAACTTTTTAAAAGTGGTTATTTCTTAATTTTTGTGTTTTTAGTTAAAAATCTTAAATTTTGAAACGGAAAAAAAGAGTATTAATTTTTATTTAAGTTTGTCTTAAATGTGCCAGTTGGATACATCATTTTGATGATTGGTTTAGGAGACTGCACAATTATCTTGATAGTCCCTAGGCATGTGGGAGCCTCATGATTCATCTTGTTACTAAAGTCTTGTATTACCTGTAAATTCATTTAATTTAATTTCGCAACTTTCATCTGTTATCTCTTTTTAATTCTTTTGAAACGTTTCAAGGAAAGTTCTCTATTGCTTTCCTCCCAAGACAATGCAAAAGCCCTTACATAAAACTTCACCATAAACAAATAATTTATTTTTAGCTGAACACCTCAAATATATTGCAAAAATCTAGTTTGCGACCGAAACAGATTAGTGATTAAATATAGTATTTGTTCATCCAATGGAACGTCCCATTAATTAAAATAATTAACCAAAAATCAAAAGTAGTTTTTTCTTTTGTTTTACACTTTGTTAAAAAAAAAAAAAAGAAGCTGTAAACTGTATATGGAATAAATTTAATAATGAATAAAGTCACTTAATGGCAAAAACAAATGTTCATCATATAACTTTGACCCACAAAACTAAACCCTACAACATTAAAAAATGTATTGTCAATTTCCCAAAAAAGAAGGAAAAATAATAAAGATCGAGATGAAATTACATTTGCTTTCACTCCCAAATCATAAATAATAATAAAAAAAATGTGGAACATCTTCCAACTTTGTTGAAGAATGAAGGATAAGAAGAGATCATCTTCAAAGAATAATGTGAAGTATCAAGTACTCATACGTGAGAAGGACACTATCTTCTATTCCCATCATCACCACTATAAATATTAATGAAGATAATGAGATGCATCAATGTAATGAGGAGAATGACTCGTGGACTTAAGGTAATGGATCAAGTTCATGAAGACTTGAATCTCGCAGGCGATCCTCAAAGCACCGTCGTATGAGTGACCGAACTCTTCTTCGGATAATCGAAGGAGATCTTCGAACAATGGGTGGGTCAAGAAATCAGCATCCATCTCTAACTTGCATTGTGTATCTCTGTCGTTTCCGACATAAACTCGGACTCGTCCTTCCTCCGGTAATCTAGCTCTTTGGGAGAAGCTCTTGGCTCCGCAACATAGTAGCTTCTTTACCATGCATTTCATCTTGATTTGATTTGAGTTTGAATAATTTGGCTTTTCGGTTTTTGGAGTTGTGATGCTTGTGATGATTATGGAGAAGCTGGTGGAGATATTTATAAGTCTTTAGAGTTTAAGAAGAGAAGAGGAAGGTCACTGGAAAGAGACAACGTAAAGCCGCGGGAAATAGTTTGTTTTGTGGGGACATATTTAATACCTTGAATCGTACGTTTTTTTTTTGATGTTTTGAGAAGAAAATTTTGTTTTAAACTAAATGATGTTTTCAACTTAAAATGCAAAATTAATTAGTTTTTAATGGTTGTGACCATTTATATTATTTATATTTTATAGATTGTTTTATTATCAGCTAAAACATATTTACATATATAATAAATGATGTGATGCCAAAAAAAAAATATAATAAATGATGTTTCAGTATAGAGATAAACAAAAAAAATATATTTTTTAATCTATATGCAAAAACCTTAAACATCATGTTTTTAGCTATTTTGATTTCTTCTCAAGAGTAATACTTCAATCGTTGCCAAAACAATAAAGTAATAATACTAAGACATCTATAAAATTTATAAATTGGAAATCAAAATCAAAGTTTTTTTTTAATATTCAAAACCGAAGTTGATGAACCTAAAATAATAATCAGTAAAATGAATTGTAGCATTACAAGCCATATGAACAAATAATACATGAGAGATATTCGGGATTTCCAAGTCTGAATCCGTACCCAATAAATATGTCTTAAACAAAAATTAGTTTAGGTTCGTATAGATCAAAGGGTCATGTACATTCTTAGCGCTAAAAAATATTCGAAAAAGTTTACATCTGAATCAATGGTAGATATTCAAATAGAACAAGATTTATGATCTCTTATCTTCTCACATCAACATTGGAAATAAGAATTTATACTCCGAATACCGAGACCTGATGGTATGATAGCTTTGTTTTTTCAAAAAGTTTGGGCTACCATTAAAACAGATTTAGTACTCCTTGTAAACTCTTTTTTACAAGCTGGCGTATTTGATAAACGGCGAAATAAGACTAACATATGCCTTATCCCAAAAACGGAGCGACCGACACGGATGACGGACTTACGGCCTATCAGTCTTTGCAAAGATTATAAAGTTATTTCAAAGATTTTGTGTCAAAGACTTAAGACGGTCCTGCCAAATCTAATTTCGGAAGGTTATAAAATTACTGTGGCAAATTTTTATGGCAACGGAAGGTCATAAAATTACTGTGAGAACAATATTATAGTGGATAATTACTGGCAAATTCTGTTGTTACTATCATTAGCGAAAGCGATTGCTATTTGCGAGTGCATTTTCCGTGGCCAAAAATAGTTGTCGTTTAGCTACTACTTAGCCACAAAAGGAAATCATAGCAATACAGCAATGATTAAGACTCAGTTACGAATATATATAGTATTGAACCTATAGTATTTCTGTATTTGGTAACTTTTTTTTTGTGTGAATCAATCGGTGGTTGTGGCCAATTTAAATTGTAATCGATTTTTCATGGGCAACATCTAAACTAAAATAATTACTTTCTTGTAGGTTGAAAAATGTGTTTCGAAATACTTGGCTAGTTATGTGGAAGTTTTCATCTGACATCTCAGGGTTATTACATACCATATATATTACAAATATCTAGATGACAACATGTGTTAGAACTATCATTGATTCATAGTTAAGAAGTCACAATTGATTTACTCATCTATTAACCTATTGTACGTACATGCAACCATACCTATTGGTTGTCGCTATCGAACCATATGTCGTGGATGGCCATTGTGGGCCTTTGTTTAATAAGATTGGTTCGAATTTTAGATCTGTTTATAGAACAATTTCTTAGGTTCAAACCTTTGTTTTAAGGAATTATAGGTCATATATTGTTAGGATGCATGTATCTTATTATATAAAGTATGATTTTTAAAGTTAATAACTCACGAGATAGTGACATGCATGTGTCAAATTTTTCGATTTGAGATTTTGACATGTGTCAAATAAAACTTTCTTTTTTTTGTAAAAGGAAGTAAAAAGAGAACTATAAAAAATATAAATTTAAACAGTTTTACAATGTAAAAAGCTAATTATAAAGAAATTGTAGATATATTTCCATAAGAGTTTTTTTCCATCAAGCAAACAAAAAAATTTGCTTTTAAAAGATAATTATAACAAAAATAAAAAAAATAAACAATTTTAAAAATATAATAAGATTATAATAAGATGAATATACATATATAAGAAATTTATATGTATATTTCTATAAAAATCAAAATTATAAAATTCTGCTAAACTTTTTATTTATAAGTTACTAACTCTACAAGAAAAAAGATTTAAAATTTGAAAAAATTAAGAAAATTATACAATCAGTTATTAATGCTATAAGAAAAAAGATATATAGTAAATAGTCACTTTTATATAAACAAATAAATTGTCTCATATTTTCTCATCAATCAAACTAATTTCTTAATGATGTTATATCATATCAATTATAAACAATACTTTGAATCACGATATTTTTCTAAAAATAGCATGTGATATTCAGATCTAATGAATATATGACAATTGAGGCAAATTAACAATTATGAACGGTGATAAACATAGACTAGAAGTTATTGTCGGAGAGGTTTGGTCTAATGTCGGAAAAAAAAAAGAATGCGGAGTAATAAGAGAAGTTGGGGAAAGAAGATAAGAGACGGTAACAGTGGTGTTAGTGTTGATGATGGTGGTTCAAGTTTGGTGGCGGTGGCGGCAGTAAATATTGATAAAGGTGGTGAGTTGGAATTAGCAAGATTCGGTATTGATGTGGTGGTGATTGTTATAGTAGTGAGATTCAGTTGTGGTGGTGGGTCAGAGTAGTGAGACTCGGTAGTGATGCCCGACGAATGTGAAAAATGGAGATAGAGAAAAAAATATATGGTGAGGAAGAAATCCGATGAGAGAGAGAGAAGAAGAAAGAAAGATGAGTTCGAACAAAAATAAGAGAAATTTAATGAGAGATACATACAGATTTGAGAATTAGTTTCAAGAAAAAACGAATAAATTGGTAATATGAGCCTAAAATGACAAAAGCCATGTAGCAAATAGATAATGTTTAGTCTAATGTTGTTTTCTTATTTTTTTTTTAGTCTTAAGTTATTTAGTGTATATTCTCTAATTCCTTATAAAGTTATTTATTTTTTTTTCTGTTGAGGATATTTCATATTATCAAGTAAAGTCACATGACATGGATTAGACGGTCTCATATTTTCTCTTCTTTTATTGTCACAATTTTATTATGACCTCAAACTTTTCTTAAAAAAACATCTATATTTATGACTCAGAATATATATTTACATATTATACATATATCGTTCATATGTTTACGTAGTAACTATATAATTTTATCTTTTCTTATTGTCATAGTTTTGTTTCTATCTTGCCCACATTAAAATTATAAGATGTAACACAGTCTTCCGATGGATGTAAATAACTTATTAAAATTCAATAATACAACATATGAACATTTATGACTTCATAACTTATAATAAGCAAAAAGTTAATATAATTTTATAAATAACCCAACATTTATATTAGATGATATAATAATTAGTATAACATAACTATAAATAATGTTTTATATTGCGCATTATGCTAATAAATCTATATTTAGAAATAATTATGCTGTATTTTCTAAAATATATATATTTATAGAATTTTAGTTAAGTAGGGATGAATTACCAGATGAAAATAAGGGAAGGATCACGAATTCTCGCAGGTCTGATTGGTCTGATAAGGTAACTTCCTTGTACGGGTGTATTTGGACTTTACTAAGGGCTTGACTGGTTTAAACGCAGTGGTTGCGGTTGCGGTTGTGGGAGTTTGCGGAAGCGGGCGGTTGCCGTTTCAAGCGTTATTTAGCGTTTTGACCGATTGGTTTAGCGGTTGAAAACGGGTGCGTTTGCGGGAGATTTACGACTGGTTGATCAGCGGGTACGATAGCGGTTAAACCAAAATTTACCAAAATAAATGTAATATATGAGTATAAAAAATTATAAAACACTAGAAACTATAGTTATGAAAAGTATAAAATTTTTAAACATGATTAATGATTAAAAACCATAAATAATTATTCATATAAATTTTTATATTGAAAACAAAAATAATTATTTATATTAGAAAATTAAAGTTAAATAATAATTATTTCTAGAATTAACGTGACTATAAATCAGACATGATGATATATATTTTAATTTATTTATTTTCCTTTTTAGTTTCTTTCTTTTTTTAAACCAACCGTAACCGCCCGCAACCGCAAACGCTTGCGGGAATTAGCTTTTGAAATCCAACGATTTCGAGCGGTTCGAAGCGGTGTAGAGCGGTTTCTGTGATTGGTACCAACCGCTAGCAACCGCAACCAACCGCTAACAACCGCTAGGCGGGTGCTAGCGGGAGAACCAATCAAGCTCTAAGTCTGCTGGTTTTGGAAATTAGTGATTGGACGAGAATTTATTTCTGGTTGGCTGGGGTTGGAATTTCAACATGTCGCAGAGCGGTGTATTGGGAAAGAGTGCTGCAGGGCCGATGGGAAATGGTATGGCACCAAAGCGGAGGATCAAGCTCTCTCCTTTTGACAATTCTGCTCTGATTGCGGGATACTCGAAGACTCTGATTGGTCGTTGTATGAATCCAAGCAAGCAAGAAATGAAAACTTTGCTCTTTATGTTACCTCGTATCTGGCAGTTAGAAGGAAAGCTGGCGGGGGCAGACTTGTCGTGGTCGATTTCAATTTGATTTCGAGACGGACGAGGATATTGCGGCAGTCTTGAAGATGGAGCCATTGCATTTTGACCATTGGATGGTCTCTTTGGTGCGGTGGACTCCTTCGGTGGATCCAAACTACCCCTCTTCAATCACGTTTTGGATTCGCGTCCTCGGTGTCCCAATTCAGTTTTGGGCTGATCAAACTTTCAGGGAGATTGGGGAAGACTTAGGGAAGGTAGAAGCGGTCGACATCATGGGGAGAAGGGTTCAAGTGACAATTGATGGTTTCAAACCCCTTTTCTTTGAGATGGAGATTGAGTTTGGGAATGGGGAAGAAACTATCATGTTCTACCAATATGAGGGGCTGTTTGGTTTCTGTGAGTTGTGTCACAGTTTGTGTCACGACAAGTAGATGTGTGCTCTTTAATTCAGTCTATGGAAAGAGGTTTGTCGTGAAAGAGGTGAATGTGG